CCTGTATAAATGATTCAAGGGATGAGTTGAACTCATATTTTCCTAATTGAAATTAAATAATTAAATTAAAGCAAAATTAAAACATTATAATGAGCTGAACAAATAGCAAAATGCCGTAACCGCTGAACACTTTGACATTTCTTTTTCTCCATCAATCTAAACATAGTGCACTGTGCTTTATGTTCAGATTGATGGAGAAGAAGAAATGTTAAAGTGGGACAGTTCATACAAGTTATATTTTATATTCTGGTTTTGTTTCTCGTTGCGTACGCTTTACAAAATAGTATGAAACATAGGTTACATTATTTTTTTAATTATATTTGAAGGCGGATGGATCTCGCTTAATCCACTGGACGTTAATACTTATAACGACTATTACTTGTTACTATTGAAAGGGCCAAAAAGGCCCAAAACAATTTACTCTTAAAGGAGAAGCTTATGGCTTATGAGTAAATGAAAATAAGAGAGAAGTTATACTTTTTTAATTTAAAGTTTTGTCGGAATGGTAACCGAGTATTCTCGATTTGATTAAAAAAATATATTAGAATTGTGAATGTTTTGGCAATATTAAGCAAAATATATTTATAATTATATAATATATATATATATATATATAATATATATATAATTATAATTATATATATAATTATAAATATATTTTGCTTATATATATATATATATATATATATATATATATATATATTTATATATATACTTATTATACACAGAGAGAAATGTATAGTAAATTTTATATAGTAAAAAAATATAGAAAAATTTACTTTAACAAATTTTTAGGGTAACAATATTATATATTCATCAATACAATATTAAGTTTGTAAAACAAAATACTATTTTTTATTATACAATTTTAGTAAAGATTACAACACCAATATTACTAAATCATAAATGTATAATATATATTTTAATTTTTAATATGTTCTTATAGTAAATTGATTTTACTATCTACAAATAGTAATATTTACTATATGATTTAATCAAATGTGAGGTGTACATCTAATATTATAATATATTACACATTAATAAAAAATATAGTAAAAATAAAGATACTTTTATGTTTAAGGTAAATAAACAATATATTTAAATATAATATATAATATAGTAACTCATGACATTTCAAACATTCAATTTTCTTAGTTTCTTCAATAAACTTTCTTGACCCATTACTGGTAATACTTATAAGAAAGAATTGAACCTACTTGGTTGCATAGTATGTACCGATTGCGGCAAAGGCCACGTCGCGACGCGTCGTTATACGGTGTGGATCACGTGATGTTCTTACATCTCGTCTCTGTTGGCTTACCAACCATGTTATATAAGCTCAGGTATTTCTTTGTTTTGGGTGTGTTCCACTACTACAAGTTGCTCGACAGTGTCGTGTCGACACTGATGATACCCAATACAGGTCAAAACACCTGTCTGTCGGTATTTGAAGTTGATGGAACGCACTCAAAACAAAAAACTTTGGCGAGGTGTAGGTTCAATTCTTTCTCATAACATTTTTGTATATTAAAAAGTACAATAAATATGTTTCAATTTTTAATTGTTAACATATAAAAATATTCGATTTTAAAATTTTTTATATATAAAATGGCAACACTGAGAGAAATGATATTATAAGAAGTTTTGCTAAACCAAAAATTATAAAACTTATTAAAAATCTTATAACACTAAGAAACAATAATAGCATATTTCCTAAACTAGGTTATAATGAATATAATATTAGATTTATTAATACGAGAATATACACCTAATAATTCTGCATAACTATGACAAAAATGCGCATTTCTGCTGGTATAAGAAATTGTATCCAAATAAAATAGCTTCTAACTACTATAAGATCAGTTACTGTTGTTATTAGAAATACTATTATTATACCAGCGTACGTGACGACCAACAACATTCGTTATTTTTCTCTTGGATGTGTTTGTACTGTGCAGTGTCATTTCTTATTTTCTATTGCCATACCTGCATAAAAAGTTTGAATCTATGTAAAAGTGCTTAATTTTATTTGTTACTGTTTTTGTTTAATTGGCCTATCTTTGGTTTATTGCACGGAAAGAAATATATAGTCATTATTAATATAAATCTAGTAAGTTATACTATAATTTTTAATAAATATAGGGACAGCTATCTGATATTTTAAAATTTACTATAAAAATATGTTAATTATCTTTCATTATTGTTTAGTAAATTTAACTATATTGTATGATTTTTTTAAATGTATGAATATAATTAATTTTAATATATGCCTTCTAGTAATTTGTACAAAAATATTATGTTAGCTTTTATTAAAATGTTATAGTAATATTTAAAAAACAATATATTAGTAATAAATATCTTGGTATAATAATTTTAACTATATTTTTTTATAAGATTTACTATTTTTTTTCTTTAAATTATATTTTATTTGGTATGTTTTACTATAAATTTTAGTAAATATTAACTAGTTTTTATAGTAATATTTAACAGTTTTTTTGGTACATATAAAGGGTGATTCAGAATTATGGGATGAAATGTCAAGAGGTCTTCAGTGCAATAATAGAAGTCTTCTATTATTATGGGTTACCCATATCTCTCGACATTTAATTTCACAATTCTGAATCACTCTAGAGTACAGCTGCTTACCTACAAACATACATAAAATTATAAAATAAAAGCATCATATAAATATTTTATATATTTATTGTCACAAACATATTATAAAACAAAACAAAAATATTCCAAAAATAACTAAAAATAGTTTTTTCTTAGACTCTATTTATCACAAGAGAACAACATATAAAATTAAAAGTTAAGTTTAAATATCTAAATAATTCGGTATTTTTATAAAATTAATTTGTGAATGACAGTGAAAATAATTGAAATTAAACCAAAATTGTAACATATTTTAAAACAAAACAAAAAATATTTCAAAAATAAAATAATATAACAGTTTTTCCTAAACTCTAATTATCACAAGAGAACAAAAGATAAAATTAAAGGTTAAGTTTAAGTATCTAAATAATTCGGTATTTTTATAAAAATTAATTTGTACTATTTAGAATCACATATTCATAACTTTGTAAGTGAATGTTAGCTTTTTACATAATCTATAAATAAATTCATTTACTTCCCTTCTTAAAATACTTGAAATTAAACCAAAATTGTAACATATTTAAATAATACGATGCACCACAAAATAACAACCTACTCTTACCACTGCCACTGTTGCTATGCAATGCAAATGAAGGATCGGCTCGTCACTATACAAGTTTAAAGTTGACTCATGGTGGTTGACTATACAAGGGAGTTAATTTTACTATAATTATAGTAATAAGCAATATCTCTTATATTTATTACAACCATAATTTAAAATCTGGTGTAACTAAATTTATTTTAGTTAAAGATGGTATAAAATATAGTTAATTGAATATGTTACTATATTTGTTGTGTATTACTTACTAAAAATTATATTTAAAGTTACAATTCTATTTTAAAATATTTTTATAGTCAGTGCTAATAACTTGGTATGTTGTTTTTAATATAATTTATAGTGACTATTAATAAAAATAGTGTACTATAAATTTTCGACTATCCATTTCTTTCCGTGTGTAAAAGCAAGTGAGTGCATATTTTACAGACAGCGTTTTTCCGAAGTTTGATGATGATATGGAAAGTTTAAGTAGAAGTGTAACCATGGTGCACCATTAGTGATTAAAATTAACGTTTTACGTGCAAAACGAGTAAGTCTTAAAAGCACAAATTATAAAATAAATGATATAATTTATGTTGATTTAGACGAAATACCTGTGCTTGGAGTTATATGTTTTCGATGCCAATAGTAAAAATATTTTATTTGTTTATAAAAAACTTAAAAAATATTTTATTATGTTTGTTTACCTTGTTTTTAGGCTATAGTTTAGTAGGTTTAACCCAAGGTTAGTAGATTAGACAGGTTGCATGGTAACTTTCTGGCACCAGCCATTCAACGTGCAAAATGACGTCACTGGGGGGTGCCCATTTAAATAAATAGCATTTAATGTAGTAAAGCAGAATGGCCCACCCGATGACGCGTTGCCCAAGCAGTTACCATGCAGCCTGTAACCATATGCATTTATCAGGTTACCTGTTTAATCTACTAACCTTTGGTTTAACCTATACATTTTTGTAATAGATAGTTACCTAAATTTATCTTGTATAGTTTTTTTAATGAAATAAACAAAACTTGTATATAGGACATTTTATTACTACAGCAGTATGTTTTATATATAATACGTTATAATACGTTATACATATATATAAAATAAAACCAATGTTATAAACCTTATAACACCTTCTAATATGCATTATAAGATATTATAAACTATATTGGGCGTATTATTAATGCCATTAGAAATATGTTATAAACCTTATAACACCTTCTATTACTTCTTATTAGAATGTAACAATATATTAGAAGTGTTATCAATCTCATTATAAACAAGTTATAAACCTTATAACATAATCTAATACTCATTATAAAAATGAGTCATAAACAATAATAGAAATTTTCTAAAACATAAAAGAATATTAGCATCTTAAATTATAATTACCATGAGGAAATATATTTTAAACGTTATAAAATCGTCTTACTAATCTGCAGATGATAACAGTAATAAATCGATTTATTGTCCAAATAGGTATAGAGATTTAGTGAACATAATATTTTAAAATTTACTATACTTATTAGTAATGGAAAAAATCTAATTATAATAAGAATTAAAAACAAAATTGGTTGAGGATAATAATATTTTACCATACATGGATATTTAAAACTTACTATATATGCATGGTATCTGGCAATATAGAAGATAGTTGTCCCAAAGAGTAATAAAAATTATATTTAGTAAAGGGTATTATAATTATGGTAATCAGCAATATACTTTTCTCTCCGTATAATTGGCTTATAAAAGTTAAGTTTTAAAAAGCACTAAAAGACTAAAACTGTTTTCTTTTTTCAGATGAGTTCGGGTTAAACGGGGTACATTCACAGCTTCACCATTAATTCCACACTTTCCATGATGATGGATCCTACGGATCCAAGCGAAAAGATCGTCCAGGATCATCGTAATCGCCTGGGCTGGGCGAAGGCGAGCAACCTGACCATAGAGGATCTGCCCATCGATATGCGTTCGAACGACGGCCATAGACTTTCCATCATGGTGTACAGTATTTTGATGGTGTTTTCCGCGGTCGCGAACATTACAGTTTTGGTGTTGTTAGTGAAAAGGCGCAGAAAGACGCCCAGCAGAATTAACACGATGCTGATGCATTTGGCCATTGCTGATTTATTGGTAAGTAGCAATTTATTGATTTAACTTTGAATTCAACTTTTTTTTAAATGTTCTTAAAACAAAGTTTTGGCAATTTAAAAGTCGTAATGTAGTTTTTGTATGCCTATGAAATTAATTGAAAATGGAAAAATAACCAAATGACGCAAAATAGGCAGGTAAAAAGGCAAAAAAGCAATATAAAAATAAACTCAGGACAAAAGTCTTGCACGACCAAGTATAATATAAAAAATTTAATAATAATTGAATTTTAGTAGTATAAATATTAAATTGTGAATTTTTTTGAAATTAAACAAAAAAAACACCCTAAAAACCGAAGAAGTAAATCCGTTTCACAATCTTAAACAAAATATGCAGTTTTGTACTATGTTCCACACCTCAAAGTCCCACCACGTGACCACGTACGGAACGCAGTCTTTTGAAAATTTGGAATTTAAGGCTTTTCAGGTTATGTATCTGTCAAAGTATAGTCAACGAAAGAAATAATATTATGTATAAATCTTTATAACATTAGAATAACAATGGATGGTTTAAGAATTTGAGAATATAAATACTGCATTTAATGAAATTCTAAAATGTATGGTACCAAATAACTAATATTTTTGTGCATTTGGTCCAAATATCTGGTTTTCTCCATAATTTTTTTTTAACTAAACAGCATTTATTTAAAAAAATCTAGCTTCTCTATTATGGAATAAGTATATCTGTATTAAAGGTAGGTTAATATATTATAACAAAAATATCATCTAATTTTGTAATTTTAAGGTTAGAAAAATTTATTTTGACCAAAATAAATAAGTATTTTAGATTATTTAAAAGACTGTATAATATGGTATTTAAAAATGTGGTAGTTTTTCTTGTCCAGCTTAAAGTGTACCTACATAAAGTTTTGTCAATAGAAATAGTTAAAAAGCTTCGACTGAATTTGATCTACATCAAAAAATCATTATAACTTTAAAAATTTTAATAAATCACATGTCATAGGAGTATTAAATATTTTCACATTGCAAGTTTCTCTAAAAATTGTTTGTTTTCTTATAATCTAACTTAAAGTAAGTATGCACAAGTTTTGTCGTTAGAAGTATAAAAGCTTCAATTTAATTTGAACTATATTCAACAATTATTTAGTATTTTTATTTATGACCATATTAGCACACTCTTTCAAATAATCCACTTATTTATTTTGGTCAAAATAGATTTTTCTAACCTTAAAATACAAAATTAGATGATACTTTTTGTTCCTATACATTAACCTACCTTTGATACAGATATTCTTATTTCATAATAGAGAAGTTGGATTTTTTTAATAAATGCTGTTTAGTAAAAACTATTTTATGGAGAAATGTAGACCCAATGCACAAAAATATCACTTATATTGCACTAGAGATTCAAAATTTCCGGAAAAATTGAGTGTCGGAAAAAAACCCTGTTTTTTTCCTGGAAAAATTGGAAAAAAAACGGAAATTTTGGGAAAAATTGATATTTTCTTAAAAACTAAAAAAAATGTTTAAAAATATTTTAAATATTTTTTATAGTATTTATAAATTATTTTGATTAAAAAATTCCCGTTATGTATAGGCGCCCCCCGGGAGAGGCACCTGTAGGGTCATGCTTTTTTAACGATGAAAAAAGCCTAGTTGCCTAGTTGCCGACGGCCGTAATTCACATTAAAATCATTGTTGGTAACTATTCAAAATACACTAACCCAGGAGTTAGTAGCATATTCAATGATTTTAACTTCACAATGGCAACCCTGCCCGATCAGCTGATTAGGAACCGACGCGTCGGACCGATCGTCGTTCGTTTACAGCGTTACGGTAAGCATAAAAACATTTATCTTGTATTAAATATACTTTTTTTATTGTACCCACAATACACAATGGTATGCTTTTTGCTCAAAGCACAGACTTCTGTACTACTGCAAAAATATATTTATTTAATTTCCACTCATTAATACATAAATTATATCAAATCAAAATACTTTTTAGATTTTCGTTTTTTTTTTAAATATTTTTTCAATTTTTCCGTTTTTCAATTTTTCCAAGGCTCGGGAAAAAAACGGAAAAAACACTGTTTTTTTCCAATTTTTCCTGTTTTTTTCCGAACCTTTAAATCTCTATATTGCACCTTAAACCATTGTTATTGTGATACTATAAAGATTTATTACTTTTAACGCTTAAACATAAGCGGTAACACTATAAATATTATTTCTTTCATTGACTATACTTTGACAGATACATAACCTGAAAAGCCTTAAATGCCAAATTTTCAAAAGACTGCGTTCCGTACGTGGTCACGTGGTGGTGTGGAGCATAGTACGTGTCGCTTAGCATTTAATATTGTTAAAAATCCTCTTAAAAATGCCTAGAGCTCAACTTAGCAATAAACTTCGACGAATAGCTGATAGATTAGGCTGTGACCATAGTACGGTTACCCGAACCATTCAAAGGCATAATGAAAGGGGTTCTGTGAAAAGTAGACATCGAAGTGGGCGTCCAAGGGTTACAACTTGAATGGAAGACCGATATTTAAGTCAAGTAACTAGTAGAAACAGGTCCATCAGGGTCAGCAGTCTTCGAAGGAAGTACCAGGCTTTATACCAGGAACTTTCTAATGACAGCATTGAAAGATGTTTGCTTTGTGTAAGACCTTTATGAGTGCCCAGGTTAATGCCTAGACATAGCCGGTCGCGGTAAAAATGGGCTCAAGATCACCAAAACTGGTTTATGCCTCAATAGATAAATGTTCTGTACTCGGATGAAACAAGGGCTGGATTGGTCAGTGACGACCGTCAATTTCATGCCTGGAGAGAACAGGGAGCATACCAGCGACTTGATTTTGCCAGAGAAGTGGTACCATGTGAAGGCGGAAGTGTTATGTTTTGGGGTGAAATCATGTATGGAATAAAAACTCAACTGGTTCATGTTCCCGGCACTATGACTGGACAAATTTACATGGATTTAATCATTGGGCCTATTATTCAACCAATTCGAGGTAAAGTAGGTACCAATTTCATCTTTATGGATGACAATGTTCGTCCACATCGAACTAGAGCTATCCTAGAGTTTCTGCGAGAGGGTGAAATTGACAGAATGGCCACCTCTTTCTCCGGACATAAATCCCATTGAACACGTCTGGGATTATTTCTCCAGATTTATTCGTAACCGTTTCAACCCTCAATACCTAAATAACCTAATACGGTTCATGCATTTTTACAGAGCAGGGGTGGCAATACAAGGTAGTAAAAAAATAGTGTTTTAAAAGTTCTTAGATTATTTGTCAATAAAAAAATTCGCATTTTTTTTCTTTTGTCCCCCTATCTTCTAATTGGCTAAGTATCAACAAACTTTTTATAAAAACAATCAATTACCTATTGGGTGAATATATTGAGATGAGAAAATGATTATTTTTTATGTTAGTCTATAATGGGGTTTTTGGGAAACCATCAGGTCTAGTAATAACATAACTTAAGTGGTTCTGCACCAATGCAAGAATTTTAAGAAATCATACATTTTGAATATTAGAGCTTCACGGAAGATAGATTCATGGAGGTTGGGATTTCGAATGTTTTTTGTATATTTGAAATAAGTTATTGTATCTTTTGACACCTTAATATATTTTAAAAATACAATTGGACATATATAAAATATTTATTAAAAAAAATCTACTTACTGAGATATTACACTTCACAGTGCCACTGTGAAGTGTAATATCTCACTGTGACAGTGGATAGGTTTTTAAAAATCAAATTAATGAACTTTGAAACTTTTGAATTATAAAACAGCAACACTTTCATCTGAATATAAATTCTAACTGACCTTGAGAAATCACATGCATCTATAATGTCGTAAACAAAGGTTTTACTTATTTAAAACGAATAAAGCGCCATCCGTTGCATAAAATTTAAAGAAAAAACAGATTTACGGAGGATAGAATCAATCACCTACATAAATGGTTATAAAAATTATTTTTTTTAATTTTTAATAATATTATATATTTGATTCGATTGCTTTGGATGTGTTTAATTTACTTAGTGAACTGATATTTTTAGTAAGCTTTTACTACCTCAGATATTTGAAAACATATAGGTTAACCTAGAAAGAGTAACAGTCACGGAGGATAGGTTTTAGACATTTAAAACATTGTAAAAAATAATTAATTGCCGTTAAAAATCTGGGACCTGAGCTGTAATATCTACTTAATTATAAAAGATCAAAACACAATAAAAGTGTAGGTCAAACTCATTTAGTTTTATTAAATATCACGGGGTAACACCATCGGGGGACATTTTGTGAGATTCACCCTAATAGAAAGACTGAGTGTAAATAAAAAAATGGCAGTTCTTTTTTCTTATAAATAAATATACAATCTTATATAAAATGAAATGAAATTTGACTTCTAAAATTTATTGCTACAACTCATTCTTACATTTAACAATGAAATGACAGCTTAACTGGCTATAAATATAAATTGGAAACAAAATAAATATGTATATATATGTATAAAAAAATTAAGAAAAAATCATAAATATACCCATTAATAAATATACATAAAAATATTCTTAAATAGTATAATTTCAACATAACTTAAAAAATAGTTAATTTCATTGCTGTTTATTAAACAAGGCTTCAAAAACTTTCCTTTTAAATAATCGCTTCCTTTATTTCAGGTTACGTTTCTCATGATGCCTCTGGAAATCGGTTGGGCAGCAACTGTTTCATGGAGGGCAGGCGATTCGATGTGTAGAATCATGGCTTTCTTTAGAGCTTTTGGATTATTTTTATCCAGCTTTATACTTGTTTGTATAAGCGTTGATAGGTTCGTATACAGATATAGAAAAATATTTCGTCTTTGGTTGTTTATAAACGTTTATTTGTGAAATTTTTTTTAATTTTTGATTTTTTGATTACCTTATTATTTTTGTTTTTATTGAAAAAACGTAATCGAAATATACTTTTAGATATGTTTTTAATTTGGTTTAATTAATTAAAAAAATTTAAAAATCTATAACTTGAACAAAGCTTTACTTCCACAGGTATAATTTAGTTTTATTAACTTATTTTTTCAGGTTTTATGCTGTTTTAAAACCTCTTCACTTAGCAGACCTTGACCAAAGAGAGAGAATGATGCTGATTGGTGCATGGATGGGCGCCGTTATTTGCAGCATTCCACAGGTTTGTGGATACACATTTTTTTATTTCATTGGCTACAGTAAGATAAATCTAATGTTTTATTTTATGTAGGTGTAATTTCCGTATGCTATTTTTCATGTCAACAAATTTATTTGGGCAAAAAAGCGGCAGCCAATACCGAGAGATCTCGGCTAGGTTAAACGTAGGAGCTTTAAAAATTGCTAGGAGACGATAGAACATTGTTGTATTAAAAACATTTAAAAATCTTTTGGCCAACTGTATTTACTAAGTTGTCAAAAGTGAGGTTATTAATCTATGACTGATACGTATATATACGTATATATACTTCAGAACGCCAATGTTTTAAAGTAAAAAATCAAACCAGTTGTACTTTATTTAGCTTTTTTTGGGCCCATGGGCACGCTCCCCATAAATAGTTATCATTTCGGTATAATCATCAAGGAAAACATTATCTTAATAACTTAATTTATTACCTAATAAATATAATATTAATGACAAAAGTAAAGATTGACAGCATTGTCAATAATAACTTAATTTATAACCTAATATAATATTAATGACAGGAGTAAAGATTGACAGCAGTTTTACAATGAATTAAATTCCAGTGGACCAAATATTTTACATATTTTTTATTATCAACAATGCAACCTAAGTATCCTAGCAATTTAAAGAATTCCCTGTGGTGATCTATTGGGATTGGCTATCGTTTTTTATTCTTATCTCCCTTATCCATTGCGTTGGACAATTAGAATTTTTAAATATGTGTTTCAAATTACTTTCGGTACGTTCCCTTTTTCTCTGTGGCGCGAGTTCTGGGACACCTTGTATATAAATCCGGGCATATATTTTTGAAGACTTTAGATTACTTTACAAGTTCCCTAGTGCTTGCTCTTTACTTAAGGTTGTCCGGGCATGAGTTTTAGTGTTTCAATCGTGGTAGAACTGTGTCCTATCCGCGCAACCAAAATTCATATGGGTATAAATTCCATTTTTAGGCGATTTTTTTAAAATTTTGCAACGTAATTGCATTGTCAGTTCATGAGGCGTTGTTATAGTGTATGTGAATGAATACAAATCCATAACATCGCTTTTAAAAATTTCGCCAATAACAGTCGCAACGCTTGGCAACGTCGTATTCGCTGTCTCTTTCACCCTTACGCTTGCTACATACGTTCTCACTCACCTATGTAGCACCGGGCGAGAGCGTTCCTATCTGACGTCAGCGACGTTGCCACGAATCTCCAGTGCAAGCGTCAAATTTCGTGAATTCACCGATTTAATCCAATAGAACTTTTTCCTACCGACATAATCAGAAACTTCGCGTATCATGTTTTGAAATTACGCTTCACGATATACTCATTTTTCATTGCAATACTATCATTACCAATAATTATTTCGGAGGAGAAAAGCGTTACAATCCACGTGCTGTCATAAGAACCCGTGTATTTTTACTCAACTTTGAAATGTATTTACTCGGCTCCCAACGACAAGAATTTTTATTAAATTAAACAGGATGAAGTAAAGAATTTATTTGTAAATTTTTATTAAATTCTGATCATTCGACACTCCAAGACAACCTTAATATAACTTTATATTTATTTTTTTATTCTTTTTTTTTTAACTTTTTTTGACAAATTTTAAAAATTCCCAGAATCTGTGTTTTGCGGTGTTGCCGGGTCTCTAAAAAATCCTAGAAATTTTTACTGGTTAGCGGTGTTGCCAAATTTATATTTATATACACATACAGAAGTGGCCGAAATTATAGTTTTAAAAATCATTAAATATACCAAAAAAGTTAACAAATAAAGGATAGGCCTTAACAACGTTGTAAGTAAAATTTTGTTACAGGCGATTTTCACAATAATGAGCTCTACGCCTTTATATTTCGTATTATATGTTCTTTTTTAATAGAAATCAATATTCTTATAGCAAATCTAGTAAACTTTCCAACCATGACATTTTATTATCACCTTAATGAGTTCCTATCGTTTTTTGCGATTTATTTCGTTTACTTCTTTTGTTATATACAACGTTGTTACTAGGGGTGTCAATCCCGGGATCCCGAAATCCCGGGGTCCCGGGATCCCGTAAAAAATCCGATCCCGAAAATCCCGGGATTAAAAGTCCCAATCCCGGGATCTAAGTAATAAGTTACAAAGAAGAAAATAGACTTTTTTTAAGCGTATGACATTTTTCATATTATAATACTCATAAGCATATACAGGGTGTCCTGAAATTAGTGCACCATACTTTAACAGCAGATTCTACGTGAAGAAATAAGAAAAAAAATCCCTATAAACATAGGTCAAGAAATTCCTCTTAAGGGAGCTACAGCCCCCAAAAGGAAAGCCCCTGAAGATGGTTTTTATTTATTATCTCCAAAACCGTTAAAGATAGAAAAGTGAAATTAGGGAATTGATTAAACTTTTTATGTCCAATAAGACGTAACAATAACAATTTAAAAAATTTCATGAGGTTTGGGTCAGATTGATAGGAAGTGGGGTTAAAACCACCTTAACTTTTTTGTACGTATCTTGTACCAGAATTTGATGTCAGATTATGACATTTTTAAGTTTTGCACATAAAAAAGGTCATCTTGTTGAACTTCGTTAACATACAGCGTTTTCGCTTAAAATCGATTTGAAAATTATTTTACATTGCATAAAATATCACAATTAAATCACAACCATAGAAATGGACTCGCGTGGTCCTTGGAATACGACTGCCATGTTTAGGAAAAAATAGAATAATTCAAGACAGGTGACAGTTTCATGTAGTAAGTGACAGGGTGTTTCTACTTTTTTTTATAAATATTAGATAAAAACCATATTCAGGGGCTCCCTTTTCGGGGGCTGTAGCTCCCTTAGGAGGCATTTCTCGATCTATATTTATAGGGACTTTTTTTCTTATTTTTGCACGTGGAATCTGCTGTTAAAGTATGGTGCACTAATTTCGGAACACCCTGTATATAAACACTTCATTTTTTTACTCAGATCAAGTGAAATTATTATACACGCTCTCTAAAAATGAAATGGTCAAAAATGACTAATTTAATAGTTATTAGTTTTTTCACTTGTACCATATTTAACCATGGAATACCATGGTATCCGAAAATTTAACAGCCAATTCTTATGTAAAATTGTCCCCTGAATCCTAAAATACCGTCAAAAATTATGAAAGTGGAGCAGTTTTCGAGATATACTCAATTCCATATTAAATGGAAAATTGACTATATCTCAAAAACTGTTCTACTTTTTTTTAACTTTTGACGACATTCGGATTCAGGGGACAATTTTACATAAGAATTGAATGTCACATTTTGGTATACCATGGTATTCCATGGTTAACCGAGGTACAAGTGAAAAAGCAGCCACTAATAACTATTAAATTAGTCATTTTTGACTAATTCATTTTTAGAGAGCGTACAATAATGAAAATACATTGAAATTACATAGCAAGAGTAGTTCCATCTATAGCATAAAATCAGCAAAGAAAATGTAAAATTACAGGTCACTGTAGAATAAATTTATGTACATAACCTATAATATAACATATTTTAAACGTCAAACCTGAAAAAATGTCACAAACTGATAATTTCAATGTAAGTTACAGCCCCAATTGGAACTCACCAAGGCCCGATTGATAAAAGAAATGGAATTATTTGTTAATGGGGGTATACCGGTAAACGTGGGTACAATGTGCCTACGAATTCTTGTAAACCATTCTTCCGACTAGTGTGAAGTCCGAAAGATATCGTTCGTTAGTTTGTTTGTTGTTTTATTTTAAATTGGTTTTAAAATTAATGATTTATATTTTTTCGGGACTGATCCCGGGATCCCGGGATTAGTTACCTTTGGTCCCGAAAGGCCCGGGATTGGAAAATGGGCTCGGGATTGACACCCCTAGTTGTTACGGCCTACCCGTCAAATTGAAATTTTTAAATTAATATCTTACGTCACCTTTATTTTGTTTGTAAGCTGCACAGTTATGTCTTATACACATGAATAATAATAATATCCATTGTGTAAAGCAGTAAAAATTTAAATTTTAATACATTTTTAAAAGTTGCCATAATTATGACCACTACTGTATATAAATCCTGACATATATTTGCTAGAAGTGTGTTTCAGGCAGCAACAGAGAAACGAAGCGACATGATTTTTTACTTATATATAATATCAGGACGGACAGTTACATGGGCTACTTTTTTTTAACTTTTCTTATTTTTCTGATTGGACTTGTTTTTTCTTTAATATAATTTTTGTTTTTTGTCAGAAAGCGATGTAAACAAAAAAGTGTTTTGTGTTTTGTTACTTTCACTGACATCCCGCGTAGGCAGTGCCTTTTTTTCCTTAAAAACACGCGAGCGAAGCTTTAGGGGTACAGCTTGTATTATATATTGTATATTAAAAACCACTGTTATTTTTTTTATTCTAATGTAAATATTTTTGACATATTTTCCAAGAAGCACAAAGCATAAAAGATAATATCCAGCATGGCAAAATTTTTAATATGAATCCTCTATATTAAAACAGGAAAATGGATTACCTAATTTAAATTCCTTTAATGTAACGATATAATATATTATGCGTATTTAAGTGCAAACATTTTGTGCACGACAATAGATTTTTTGCATAATAAATAATTTTATCTCCACGCGGTCTATAATTTAAACTTTATTGTTGTCAACATTCGATAAAGAAATACCTTGTTATGGCCTAGGCCGATAAAAATTTTTATGAGGCAAGTAATTAGTTCAATTTTTTCTCGCTAGGGGTATTATTTTGACAAATTTATCTTTTTCTAAGAAATTAACGTACTAAACTGGTTTAATTTATTTTTAATAAGCACTAATTTGTTTGTTTTAGTGTTAATGTTTAATATTTTTCATTAAATTATTGTAAAATTAAATATGAATAATAAAACAAAAAGTGAGGTTAGGCACGATTCTTTTTCTACGATTTAAATTATCTTTAAGGTTTAATTTGCTTTAAGTTTTCAGTGAAATTAAATGTTAAACACAGCTTAAACATTCCAAACTACCTATTTTTTAAAGAAAAATCCAAACAAATTGAAATTAATACCTATTTATTAAATAATTAATTGAATTCAATGTAATAGCAAAAATCCATTTCTACTTAAATCATGTTGCTAGGTATTGTCAAACTATTACTGCATCTAAAAGCAATAATAATTATTGTACATTTAATGTAATCTTTAGCTAATAAATAAATGAGATTCTAAAAAAGTAAGGTTAGGCCGGTTTGATGTTGAATTAAATTGACCTATATAAAGTGCTTTGAAGATAAAATGTTGTATGCCATTCGGCCAAGAAGTGCCTTTTTGTGCTTCGCTCAATTGTAGGCCTCCGCTACGCGTCGGCCTTCAAACCTTGAGCTTAGCACAAAAATCCTTACTTCTTAACCTAATGACATAAATAACTATTATTAATTAGTTGCAAAACAAGATGGGAATTTTATTCAAACTTATTAAAAATGTAATCCTATTCAGGGTATTCTGTCGACTTAAACTTTAATATGATATTAATGTTTCAGATGATCGTGTTTCATGTGGAAACCCATCCGAACATCACCTGGTACAAGCAGTGCGTGAGTTTCAACGTGTTTCCATCATACACTCACGAGTTGATGTACAACTTATTCGGCATGGTAATGATGTACGTCTTTCCCCTTCTTGTCATCATTTATTCGTACGCCTCTATCCTGATGGAAATATTCAGAAGGATGCGAAATCCTATCGGAGGTAAGACAAAACATAATCTTGGATAAAATCTGGATTTATTTGTGTTGTTATCTGTCTCAGTGGGGTAGCGATCTTCTTTCACTTTGTTTTATATTTTTTTACTTATAGTAATTTAATTATAAACCAAGATAAGTGAACACAAAGTTTTATGAATAATAACACAATAAATAATAAATTATTGTATAAAGCTTACTTACATACAGGGCTTTTAATTAAAAACTGGCCACACTTAATAACTTCCCGAAGAACATTAGATATTCCTAAAATATTCCCTCATATTTTTTTGAACATTGGAATGTGCTTTAAATATTCTCAGAATATATACATGAATTTTGGAATATTCTTAGAAAAGGCCAATGAAAATTCGTCAATGTTATTAGTCACCAGGAACATTCCCTTGAAAATATTCTTGGCATATTCGGGATTTACCAGGAATATTCAAGCGATAATCAAATATCATATGCTTGCAACATTTTTTTAAGAATTTTGTGCATCTTTTTGTCAGTTTTGAAAATTTTTAGAATATTCCTGGAATTTCATAGAAATATTCCCAAAACGAATGTTTTTGGTTATAACTGGTATATTTGGGATATCGTTGTAATATATATATTACAACGATATTTCAAATATACCAGTAATAACCAAAAACATACAGTATGACCCATTTATTTGCGACTCACCCCTGTAAAATCTTTATTTATTGTGCAATGTTAACCGGATTTGTTTTAAAGGGTTGATCTTGATAAACTGTATTTTTGGAGCAGAAAACGCCATATTAGTACTAAATACAAAGCCTACTACGTCAGTTTTTAGGAGTAAATTATTAATAATTCATACTAGCGATTTTTTTAAACAAACTCTAAGCACGGCACTGGATTCACCACCCCTCAAAACGACCCTTTACTATATTTTATTAAAAAAATTTAAGTAGAAAAATTCTGTCAAGTTATCCATGAAAAAAACATTGAAATAAAATTAAACTTATAGTAATTAAGTACTATGTTACTATTGGTTTCATTTTATTTCAATGTCTTTTCATGGATAAATTGACAAAATAAATTTTTGTAGTTATTATTGTGCATTTTTGTACTTAAATTTTTTAATAAAAATTATGTAAGGTCGTTTTAAGGGGTGGTGAATCGAGTGCCGTGCTTAGAGTTTGTTTAAAAAAATTGCTAATATGAATTCTTAAAAATTTACTCTTAAAAACTGACTTAGTAGGCCTTGTATTTTGTAAAAATATGGGGTTTTCTGCTCCAAAAATACAGTTTATCAAGATCAACCCTTTAAAACAAATCCGGTTAAAATCGCACAATAAATAAAGATTTTACAGGAGTCGCAAACAAATGAGTCACACTGTATATGTAGCATGAATAAAAAGTAGCATATATTATAAAAAATGTACCTATTATTAATAACATTTATTTTAAATTTTAATGAACCAATGAAATTAAAAACGTTACTTAAGCTACGGGCTTATACATTGTGAAACAAGTCCATTTTTTTATTTATAAATTTTTTGTTGTACATTATTAATTTAAGAAAAATCATAAACAAATTTTCCAAAAAAAAAACTTGGACTGTTCTTAATCTCACCGATTCAATTAGTCAGTTCAGACTAATTAGACTATTAAGGCTTTTCAGGTTATGTATCTGTCAAAGTATAGACAATGAAAGACATAATATTTTTGTGCATTGGGTCTACATTTCTCCATAAAATAGTTTTAACTAAACAGCATTTATTAAAAAAAATCCAACTTCTCTATTATGAAATAAGAATATCTGTATCAAAGGTAGGTTAATGTATAAGAACAAAAAATATCATCTAATTTTGTATTTTAAGGTTAGAAAAATCTATTTTGACCAAAATAAATAAGTGGATTATTTGAAAGAGTGTGTTAATATGGTCATAAATAAATATAGGTATACTAAATAATTGTTGAAAATAGTTAAAATTAAATTGAAGCTTTTATACTTCTAACGACAAAACTTGTGCATACCTCTCGGCATACTTATTTTAAGTTAGATTATAAAAAAAAACAATTTTTAGAGAAACTTGCAATGTGAAAATATGTAATACTCTCATGACATGTGATTTATTAAAATTTTTAAAGTTATAATGATTTTTTGATGTAGATCAAATTCAGTCGAAGCTTTTTAACTATTTGTATTGACAAAACTTTATGTAGGTACATGCACTTTAAGCTGGATAAGAAAAACTACAACATTTTTAAATACCATATTATACAGTCTTTTAAATATTCCAAAATACTTAATTATTTTGGTCAAAATAAATTTTTCTAATCTTAAAATTACAAAATTAGATGATATTTTTGTTGTAATATATTAACCTACCTTTAATACAGATATTCTTATTCCATAATAGAGAAGCTAGATTTTTTTAAATAAATGCTGTTTAGTTAAAATTATTTTATGGAGAAAACCAGATATTTTGACCAAATGCACAAAAATATTACTTATTTGGCACCATACACTTCAGAATTTCATTAAATGCAGTATTTATATTCTTAAATTCTTAAACCTTCCATTAGCTGGCCATACACAGGCGTTATTTTGCGCGGTTTATCGTGGCGTGTTGGGATGTAGCGGTTAGTATGCACGAAAGAACGGCATGGCAAAAAAAGCGTCATGTTCCATACACTTGATAAAGTATTCAAATGATTTAGCAAGTGATTGCGCGTGGTATATCAATTTCAAAGGAAAAATCGTATGTGAGTGGGCAAAACGTGTCACGTGACGCGGAATGTGGCGTGTGGCGTGTGGACACTGCTGAAATGATGTACGCCACAATCCAGAGGAAAGCACGTCTGAAATCCCTTCCCGTTCTATCATTGCGCGCGGCGATACTCACTCACGTACATGATTTTCCATATGTTTTTGCAGATAACACGATAAACCGCGCGCAATAACGTCTGTGTATGGCCAGCTATTGTTATTCTAATGTTATAAAGATTTATACATTTTTAACGCCTAAACATAATATTATTTCTTTCATTGACTATACTTTGACAGATACATAACCTGAAAAGCCTTAAATGCCAAATTTTCAAAAGACTGCGTGAGGTGTGGAGCATAGTACAAATCCAGTGTTAAACAAATTTAATGTTGTATCATCTCATCTCCAGCTACCCTTATAAAAATATTTTGGATGACACCCTATACCTTGCGACATATCATTTTAAAGGAAATGCAATTTCTGATCCACTGTATTAAAAAAATAAAATAAAATAAAATCCGATTACAAATTCGCGAGTTAGAGCAAAAAAAAAGTGTTATATAAATAAAATGAAGAATTCCATAGAAAAAGTTTTTGCCTGAAATTTGACCAACAAACCGAAAGAATGCAATAACATAATTTTTTTCCTGCGGTGTGGCATCAAGTGACATCTATGTAAACCTTTCTGACATAAATAAAATCAAACGTAAAATTCGTAATATCGCACAGCTGTCACCATGCTTTCCTGAGATAAGCCTTAGCGATTTATTGTAGAGTATTTTAAAGCAGAAGCTTCTGCTAGTCCACTTGTATTCGTGTAAACTTCCCTCATATTGCACACATGAATTTCCAGTATAACTTGATTAATGTTTTTCTTTGAAGGACGCACGTTGCTAGTGTGAGATCCCAGACATGTGCATACGTATTTGCATGTAACGGAAATGTTATTTTTCGAAGCTACGAGCTTTCATATTTTATACAAGCTGACTTGTTTAGTTAAAGGATAAATAGGTTTTATATATATTGGGTGTGTCTGAAACGATAGTGATAAGGAATAAATTGAGTGTTGTAAAACTGAAAAATGAAGTAAATATGTTTCGTTCTTGGCGTGTATCACTTACAGTGTCCCCCAGATTTTTTCACATTTGTACAATTTTTAAATTCACAAAATAACAGATTCTATGTCCGAATCGGAAATCTTTTTTTCTAACAAGCGGGGGATTACCCAAAACAGTTCATATGAGGAGGTGCATTCCAAAACTCGGCTTATCCATATTAGTTGTTTTAGAGCAAAATGTCAAAAACCTTACACGTGAGCATATCAGGCAAACACAATACTTTAAACGAAATATAAAGGCATAAGTAAAACATTTATATACCTTGATTAAAAAGGTTTAGCTCCAGTTTAATAGTATATTATGTATCAAGTTTGATAAACGCCATTTTATACACAAATTTAATTTAGGCACGAGCTAGTGCTTAAATTAATTAGTGTATAGAAAAGTTTATAAACGAGGTCCATACCATACTTTTTCTACGACAAATACTTATTTTTATCTTAAAATGATTTAAATCAAAAAATTTTATAGAGCGCCATCTATGAAACAATAGGGGAATCTGTGTGTCACCGTCAAATGTCAAATTTTTGTATTTTATAAACACAGATTTACAGTTTTTCACAGTGAAAGTAAAGAGCACTTTACAGTGGAGTCCGTGCCCGAATTTAAGTTATAGTTTACTGCCGGTGAAATGAAAAGGTCAGTACAATGTTCATATAAACTTTTCAAATATTACCGTTGAGAAACTATTTAATACTTTTGTATTTTTGTATTGAGATAATAAAATAATTTTCACATTTAGAATTATTTTACAAGAAAGGCACTTTATTTTAACGATTTTATGACATTTGACAACTGTGAACTTAAAACTAACTTCAGCCCGTGACTAAAAGGTCACTGTCATGGAAACATGTACGATAAAGGGCGTTTTAAAGGTGGGAGAGAGGGGAAAACCACTGATTTTTTAAAATTAAAAATCGCTTACGAATTAACGGCTACACAGAGAGAAAGGAGTGGTTGTAAACACCGAAATAGGTTTATATTCACCTTAACGTAGCATTGTATTTTGCCGACCTCATATGGGTTTATAGTAAACACATCTTAAAGTATATCATATTTATTTGTTAAAAAAAGTTAGTTCGGTAACAGTTAAAACATTAGTTAGTAAGCTATTAATAAAAAAAAACGCTATGTTAGAAAAGTAT